CCGCCCGGTACGCCCATGCACCGTGGCCAGACATATTTTTCAAGCTTGCCCGGTGTGGATATACGCTCAGAGTAACATCACAAGTATAGAAAAACCTATGGTAGTTTAAACATTCGGTACAAACGTTTTTTTTTCTATATATATTCTATAAAAGCTGAAAGTTGATATAATTATGTGTTACTTATATTACAAAAGATCATGTAAATTTAAATTTTAAGATATATATACAACATGTGATAGGCCCAGGGGCCGGTTGTACTAAGGCTGCATGGATAGTGATTTTTTCAACCGTTGTATAAACGCCTGAAATCTAGAACTATAGAATCCACAATAACTACAAAAGAAGCATTAATTTATAAACTTTAATCCTGGTTATAGCATAGCCTATCGAAGGGAAGATGGCTGTGAAATCATTAGAATAACAATATAACTCATTCTTTATGTTAGTCAACGTTTATTCATAAATCTGGTCCTTCACCGTCATGTGTGTATTGTATTTTTGCAAATTTCCATTTTCCCTATTGTTCGAGTCACGGATAGATAACTTTCCTAAAACATTGCTATTGGTTAATTGGGCAAAAATACAATACACATGCGACGGTGAAGGACCTGATTTATGAATAAACGTTGACTAACATAGATAATGAGTTATATTGTTATTCTAACGAGTTTCACAGCCATCTTCCCTTCGATAGGCTATGGTTATAGCAAACCAGAAACAATTTTAGAAAGTTTGAAAAAATCACTGTTCGGTGGATAGCGCTATCCAGCCTTCGTACAACCATCCCCAGATTTAGATCGAGGACGCGGACGTCAAAGATTACGTGAAAAATGGCGTCAAAATGGCGTGGCATATCCATACATGGGCATAACACGCCATTTTAACGTCGTCTTTGACGTCCGCGTCCTCGATCTAAATCTGTCTAATAGCAATGTCTTACGTAAAGCCAGTTTCCATTAATTAGGTGGAATTTTGCGCGCGGCGCGGAATTTTTCTTTGTCTTGTGGTTTTTCGGGTGGAACTAATTAGAAAAGACAAAGAAAAATTCCACTCTGCGCGCCGAACAATTACAACAATTGACAACAATTAGAAGCTTATCAGTGTATAGACAAGATAATTCCTTGGAAGCTTTAACATCATGGTTCATATTTTGGGTTTTTAAGGTGTTTTCATTTTCGGTTTTTGTTCTGTGCGTAGTCTCTTTGTAATCAATATCCAAGCCTTCTTACGCAAATGGTCGATGTTGACTACTCATTGTTTCGACACAGCAGCTACAAAAGTTCCTTGGAGGAGTTTTCTTGGACAATCCTGCAAAGTTTCCTTGCAGGAGGTTTCCTGGACAATCCATCCTGGTGGATTTGTATATATAAGCTTTATAGTAATGCTTGCCCGAATAATTCCAGGCTGCGAATTAAAAATGTTTCTGTCTACAAATTTCAATTTTGACCTACAAAAGATTTTTCCAATATAATCCTTTGCATGCAATTTTATTTTTGCAATTAAAGTTAGTTTGGACGGTTTTGTTTTTGAGTATATTTCGTTGCCAAGAAATTTATCTGACCAGCCATTTAAATTACCATTGTTTAATACTGAAAATGTTGGCCTACAAACTCCGTGCAATTGTAGGGCGCTAATACTTTGGCCCACAAAAATGTTTTCTCGCCATATAGTCATTAAATCGCATCCTGCATGTAATCACCGTTCGTCAAAATCGGCACAAACACGGGGTCAGCGGCGGGACTAAAGATAAATTTAAGTCACTAAATTCTTAGCTAAAGAAGCGAATATCGGACATTTCAAGTGCTTCATTTAACACGTTAAGATATTCATAAGTCTTGTATTTCTTCAAAAGTTTTTTGTGTAGAAAGTAAAATGGCCACTGATTGTTAATGTTACTAACTTTGAGATCATCGCTCCAGCCTAATATTTTTAAAATCAACTGACTTAGTTGACGGTTTCTTCTTTGTTTCGATGTGAACCACGATTGAAGTTGTTTCAGTACTTTAGGGCAATTCTCTATGAGGACGCGGTATTCTTTAACTTCACGCAAGCATATGAACCAGTAGTAATGAGGAAGAAATACTTTATCACATTCAGACTCATCAGGCAACTCTGAGGATACTGTTTCTTCAAATTTCAGGAAGCTTTCATAATAACCAGGACAATCGCTTATACGTATAAACCTACTTTCAGAAAGTAATTGTTCTTCTGTGGACTCAAGAGGTGGTGGATGATACAAGTAATTGAATGCCATAATAAAGACGACTTCACGATCCGGATATTGAGCAGAGAGTATACTGCCACCAGCGAATTCTTTATCAATATTCTGTGTATTTTGTATGTAATATTCTAAATTGTACCAGATACCAGACCAATAAAATGGTTTTAGTTTGTGACGTACGTGAGTACCAAGATTTCCCTTATTTTTATCAATTAATCCTTCGCTTCTAACACTGTCATAAAATTGAGCCAAATACACCGGGTCTAACTGGTGTTTATTTACGCAATTTATCGGCAAACTAGAAAATGATTCTGAGGCTTTTTTGTGGACGTATCTTAACACGGCAAACCCTTTTACAGCTGCTATGTGAAGCGGAGAGAGTCCTTCCAGGGTCGAACCACATGGAAATTCTGATTTGTATTCCGGTGATGTACTAAAAAACGTTCGCAGTAATTCTTCGAAAACCTGGTTCCGATGTTTCGATATCCACGAGGGAACTATATCCTTATATACACGGAAACCTCGAACCATTGACGGTGTAGTAAATACTCCATAACTGACGTTTCCTAAGTATAATATGGAAATATCAAGAGCAGTGAAACCACCTCGAGTTTTCAGCTGAGTGTTAACTCCAATACTTTTAAACCATTTTATAGCTGCAAGATTTCCACCTTGAGCAGCTCTGTGTATTGGTAAATATCCTTCAGCATCAAAGCATTCGTCCAAAATGCGAACACCTCTCGGATGACGGTCAATCATTCTTTGTAAAGGGGAACGCTTTTTATTTAAGGAAGGTTGAAAGAAATTGTCAAAATCATCAGGTACTGCTACGTATGAGATAAGATGTAGCTCTGAATAATTAAAAGATACTCCACATCTGACAGAAACATTCACTTCAAATCTTTTCAATACTTTGCTGACTTCTTCACTTCCTTCTCGGATATGTTCAAATGAGAGGGCCCAAAATATTCCCTCTTGACAATTTACATCAACACTAATTTTCAACAAAGCGTACAAACTTAAGGGCATATTTTTTGAAATGACCATATTCAACAAAACTGCAGTTGTAGCATCACATTTCAAGATGCTTGTTTTCTGTAACCATAGCAAGAACCTTGCGATTTCATCATGAGGTGTCGTTTTACACGACGTAAAAAGCCCGTCATTTGTAGTGTAGCAGTGCTGTTCTAAATCAATTTCCCCGTAATTAAGATGGTATGTTAATGCAACCCACAAAGGACTTAAGTCGTTTCTGTTCTTAACGTTAATATCAGCACCAAGTCGTACAAGATGTTTAACAACATCTTCACGACCAATTCTGACTGCCATATGCAGAGGTGTATTTCCGTACTCATCTTGTTCATCAAGGATCAAAAATTTATTCCTTTTTAAAGTTGGTATGATTTCTAAAGCTTTCTTGTACACATTAGTAAACACCTCTAGTCCAGTTATACTTGCGTAATGTAAAATAGGGTATTTAGCAAACGAGGAAGAAGAATCTGAACTGTAATTTTTAAATGAAGTGTCGAAAAATGTTCGCAACAATTCTTCAAAACATTCATTTCGATATCTCAAATTGATTCCCAATTTAGAAGCATTATTCCTCAATAGCAATGTAGAAAGCTGAAGAGCAGTGTGACCACTTCGTGTTTTCAGCTGAGTGTTAACTCCAATACTCTTAAACCATTTTATAGCTGCAAGATTTCCACCTTGAGCAGCTCTGTGTATTGGTAAATATCCTTCAGCATCAAAGCATTCGTCCAAAATGCGAACACCTCTCGGATGACGGTCAATCAGTCGTTGTAAAGGGGAACGCTTTTTATTAAAGGAAGGTTGAAAGAAATTGCAAAAATCACCAGGTGTTGCTGCGTATGAGATAACATGCAGCTCCGAAGAATTAAAAAATACTCCACATTTGACAGAAACATCCATTTGGAACATTTGCAGCACTTGGCTTAGTTCATCGCTTCCGCTGTTGCGGTTATACGTTGATAAGATGACCAACCTTGCACGGTGGCAATTTACGTTAATACCAACTTTTAACAACGCGTACAAACTCAAGGGCATCCGGTTTAGAATGACCAGATGCAACATCAATAAACTTTCATTATCACATTTTAAAATACTTAATTTTTGTAACCGGATCAGGTATCTTGCAACGTCATCCTGGCACGTAGTGTTGCACGAACGAAACTGACCATCGTTTGTAGTGTAGCAGCGATAGGAAGCACTGGGATGTAGGTTGTTTAATACTCCTATCGCGAGCATTAATGGCGTTATGCCAGTTCCATCCTTCTCTAAAAATACGTCCGCGCCAAGTTTAACCAAGTACTTTACCGCATCTTTGAAGCCATACCTGGCAGCATAATGCAAAAGCGTAAGGCCATCATATCCAATGTCTGAAATTGAAAATTCCCGCTGATGTGTTTTAATTAATAACTTAATAATACGCAAGCGCCTTTCCGACTCTTTCTTTGCCTTTTCTTCCTCAGAAAGATTGCGGTCTTGGAAAACTTTTAAACAATTGGAAGAAACACGCTCAGCTTTCAACACCTCACATTGCGACAATCGAACACTGTACTTTAAAAGACCCGATACGTTTTCGACTTTGTAATTAACTGGATCATTTAAAAACAAACTTGCTACCTTTGTCGAACAATATTCCACGGCTTGTTCAATCATTGCACGTGGTTGTAAATATAGTCCTTCTTCTTCAAAAGTATTTTTAATATTTTGAACAAAACGTGCTTGGTCGTATGCTACGGCAACTTTTATAGCCTTATTGTTATCATAAAGTAGTGAATCTATCAAGATTTGTTTATTGGGTATTTTTTCTGCCATGTTCCAAAACCCATACTTAGCACTTATATCAATAGCTCTGTTACCATATTCACAACCGTCATTGATGCAAGATACTGCATACAAAAAATGTTGCTTGTCCACAGAATACATTGAGCACATTTGCTTGTTACCATCATTCGAAATTTTTCTTCCACACTCTGTAGTTACACTAGCTCCATGCCTCAACAGTAAACCGACCATTATACTATCATACCGTTCCACGGCATCCATCAAAACAGTCTTCCCAGAATGATGCTTACATTCCAAAGATTCCTTTCCCTTCTCCAACAAAGTTCGTACGATATTAATCAGTCCTCTGGATACTGCGGCATGAAGAGCAGTTTCACAAAAATACGTATGTGCCTCTTGTATCGTAGTTTTTCGACTCAATAGTGAAAAGTGCTCAGGTTGACATGGTATGCAAATATCACGCAGTCTGACTGTATGCAATAGAAACGCCACAAGAGTCGAATGATTTCTTGCGGCCGCGTGATGAAGTACGACTGGATCATACGTTGCATCGGGATTAACATAAAACAACTTGACCACTTCTAAATGTCCATTTCCTGCTGCTAAGTGAAGGGGTGTTGGATAATTCTTGCTGGTGTTGGGGAAGCTTATATTTCTTTTCATCAGAAGCTCAACGACATCCGCGTGCCCCTTAGCAGCTGCTGCGTGCATCAAGCTAAACTCCTCGATACCTGTATTTCGTACCAAAACAGACACTGGGTCTATTTCTGTGTATCCTTCCAAAAAGGAATTGATGTCTGCTCCATTATCAATACAGCATTGCAAATTTTTAACAAAACCTTCCGATGCTGCATAAAACGCCGGCGTTTTGTTTCTGGCATCAAGTACGTCGACAGTTTGAAACTTTTGTGAGAAGAAATCAAGTACAGGTAGATAGATGCTTGGCTTTGTCACGAGATAATGTAGTATGGATTGATTAGTTTGCGGTTCGCGTATCTCAGTGATATTAAAAAGATCCATCGCTGTTTCCTGTGTTTCGAAAGCTTGTCCTGACAGAATGTGCAAGAAAAGTTCAGCTAGTTCCTCAAACGTGACATCAATGTGTCTTTCAGTAATGCGACGCAGAAGAAACCTAGCAATACTTTTATGACCTCTAGTTTTGTTCATAGAAAGCGCAACAGTTTCGTTTATCAACCAATCTGAAAAAGAATGATGGTATATTCTAATTGTTCCATCACCGTCAAATCGTAAGAAACAAGACACATCTTCAATACGTTTGGAAATATCCTCCACTTTATACTCAATTTTAAGAATTTCCTCAACATCTTGGAACGGAAGAGGTGAAAATACCGCTAACAACACTTCAAAAAGAGGCCTAAATGGCTTAAATCCAACCTCACCAAATTGCCGTTTAAATAAACTGTCATACAAATCAAACAGACTTTTAGGTAAGGAGTGAATGTCAAATTTTCCATTTGTATCGATCATGTACTGACATGTCAACTTTACAAACAAAAAGTTTCCTTCTGCTCGTGTAATAATTTCACCCCAGAATATTTCCAAGCCATTTGGTTCGTAATTTATTGCCGTTAATAATCTTTTAAAAAAATCCGTATTTTGAGATATAAAACGCAAAAATTCACGAATGTCATCAACATTTCGTTCGTCCGTAGAATACAATGGCATCCTAGTGATCTGCTTCTGAGGAAGTCCAGATAAAACAGAGGTTACGTTTCGAGAGGTTAATATGACCTTTAACCACTTTGGAAAATCTTTTATTTTATTATTCAAAATTTCCATAATTTCGGATGTTTTTAAATCACTTCCGAAACACTCGTCTAAAGCATCTATTATAATAAACCGAAGGCCGTCATGCTTTTCTAACCTTCGTAAAGGTCCTACAATCGTGCTGAAGAAACATCTCGTAGGATCTTTATGACAAGTACTAGCTAGTTCCTTTCGAATCTGTTCATCGTTCATCACATGTTCGGAATATTTCGGTAACCGAGCTGCAATTTGATCAACTAAATTACGCACGAATCTTGCGCCATCGGGTTTTCCATTCTTGGAATATTCACATAGATGATAACCAATGATATTTTCGTGTATTAACAAGCTGGAATATGGTGAACATATCAATTGTGACATCAGTGCTGTTTTACCTGAACCTGGCGCTCCAGTAATCAGGACACCAACAGTCTCATTGTTTTCTTCGAAGATCTTTTCTAAGTCCAAGAAAAACCACTTTCGGCCCACGAATCCCTCTCTCTTGTCCGCCAGGTATGAAGAGAAATGAAATTCTTGAAATTGGAACTGGCTTACTGGCGATTCCCTCACTGCGGCGGGACAATCTAGAATGTCAAAATATTTTTTTAGAAACATTACATAATTTTCTATTATCTTCGAATGCAACTAATTTTTACAGAATTCAGAAAGGTTTATGTCACGTCAGAAAAAATTTCATTTGACCGCGCAAGGTCAATATTTCTGAAATTTTGTATTTTAAAAGAACTAGTCATTTATTGCAATATACTCAATATTTTAAAAAATTCTATGAAACAGTTTTTGTGGAACAAATTTCGCGTAATATCTCAAAAACTGAATTTATAACCCCCTAATTTTATTATATGATCTTCCACTAGATATTCCTGTTACATCTACAAAATTTCAGAAATTTTGACCCAAGGAAATTTTAATAAATTCATTTTTAGTCCAAAATTTGATCTTTATCTGCTTTGAGCTTTATCTGCTGTAGATTTTTCGCTGCTGTTTCTTTACAACTGTTAACTATCAATAACGCAAAATTGAAAGACTAAATTTTCTTTATTAAATTAGCATATAGATTTTGTGCAATAAGGTAAGTGAAGTACAATAATTCCTTATCCATGACGAAATGCCTAATGGGTCCTCTTTAACTATTTTACTCTAGGGAAAAGTTTTGTGCACATTCAATAAATAGGGTTAAGTTGAACATTATCTTACCATAATCTAAAATGACACTTCTGTCACCAACTTGAGAAAACATGAAAAATGCCATCAAAGACCACAACAACCCAGGAATGTTACGAGAAAAGGAAGACACTGCAAACAATAATACTGTAATAAAAACAACACCTATTTTATCGTTTGCCAACTTTATTTCTTCTTTTGTCTCCTTTATTTTTCCTTCTGCCACCTCTATTTTTCCTTCTGCCACCTCTATTTTTCCTTCTGCCACCTCTATTTTTCCTTCTGCCACCTCTATTTTTCCTTCTGCCACCTCTATTTTTCCTTCTGCCACCTCTACTTTTCCTTCTGTCACCTCTACTTTTCCTTCTGTCACCTCTATTTTTCCTTCTGCCACCTCTATTTTTCCTTCTGCCACCTCTACTTTTCCTTCTGTCACCTCTACTTTTCCTTCTGTCACCTCTACTTTTCCTTTTGTCTCTTTCATTTCTTCTTTTGTCTCATTTAATATCTGTTTTAGTTCTTGATTCTGAAACTGAATAATCATTAATTCTTTCTTTTCTAAGATTGAGATATCTGTTATTTCTATTTTATTAATATCTTGACGACAGTCTTGAGCTTCTTTGATGCCACGTAGTTCGGGATCAGTCATTAAGTTATCAAAGGCTGTAAAAGCATCTTTCTTCTCCTTGTCGGTAACGATACGCTTTGGCGAATGAGCCCACGTATTTCGCCAACATTTAACAGCGTTTAACGTGTTTTTTTGAATTTTGAAATGATTACAAAATATTAGCAAGTTAAGAAGTGATAGACAATCAGTACTGCCAGGATCCTTAGTTGTGATCCAATTTTGTCCTAAATCAGACATGAACAACTTTGCAATCTCCCAGTATCCATGGACTGGATCATCCCAGTGAGTACCCACGCTTTGATGCCACGGCATGTCTTTTTTTTGCGAGAAAACATGATGATTTTTCAATTCTTGAGCCCAAATGCAAGGTGTTCCTAGTCGTCCATGAGGGTGGGCTGGTCCATGAGGTTTTGGTTTTTTTCCGTAGGTACACGTACAATGGCACTTGACTCCAGGTCCACCGACATTTGTTGTTATCAAAGCATGAAGTTCCTTCATTTTATTCTCAGCATATTTTCCAAGGCTATCCCTGAGGCGCCCGAGGCCTTCACCAACAGCCAGCCAGTTATGATAACCAGGATCCTTTGCCATTTGTAACAAATTTTCTTCAAATAGCTACGTCTACACAACATAGAAATATTTCAATCTTCAATTATATTAAAGTACACAGTATGATATATAATTTAATTGCTTAATATAATCAATAAACCAAATAATAGCTAACCACTATCTCCTACTTTACCGTTGTACTTTGTATAATGTCATATAATTTTACTCTTAAAAAAAAAACCCTGGATGTCAACGGTTACAATGCACATTTTGCAACGGGCTTAGACCTGCAAACTTTTTTTTATATACAATACTTGTTTGAAAATTTAATCTAGTATTGCATGAATGTTGTGTAAAATGTCAACACATTGCATTGGATTCGGTAGTGGATTCTTAATAATGTGCATCATCTGCATCTTTATTTCCTATTTTTCATAAGTCACTCTACTAGTCTTTATATCAATAAAGTTCACAACATCTCTTATAGTACAAAATGCGGCGGCAGGTTTTGTACAAGGCGGATATGCAAATACGGAAAATGTATTGGATGTAAAATGGTTGCCCGTAAAGGAAAGAATTGAACTTAGTATAGCAAAATTTACTTTTAAATCTCTTCATTTTGACAATTGGCCATCGTATTTATCAGTCCATGTGAAGCATTACGGAAGGGTATTACGTGGTAGTAATAATAGACAGGTTCAGATTTGACTTCCACTACCACTACCGCTACCTTAAATGTGTTACGCATGCGCAGTAACTGCAAGAGCGTGAGGAAATCGTCGCATGTTTTTGTTTTGGGAC